CGTCTGTCCGTCTGTCTGTCCGTCCGTGACTTCATGTTTTCGTCGACGAGAAAATGCGCTCTCTGTCACTCACTGCAGTGAGTACTGAGTTATATTTTTTTATTGTACAGGAGAAATTTACGGTAGTGCGGACGGCTAAATTTTATAATGGATGAATTTTCAGTATCGTGATATTTAAGTAGACACAAGTCGACTGCGTCTATGCATTAGTGTAAATTTCCAAAAGTTTATCTCCTGACAATCTCTTATCTGCTACCGTTATAGTACTGAGCATGATTCAGCGCTCTCCCAGACCTTGTGAATGACAACGTGAAATACCAAGCCGTCGTATATAAAGAAAATACGTACAAAGGCGATCTAAACACGCATAAGAAAAAGTGACACACAAAGACGTAGTTATTAATTATTACAATGAATTTAACGAATCGGTTGCATTAGATTCTTTTCTTGAATAATTTTAAAATAAAATCAATTGCGTCGTGAAAATTGCACTAATCGCATGTTTTTTCTAACTATTTAAACCTATATACGATTGGAATCTCTTTATTTCATGAAAGTTTTTTCTATTCTATTTCGTCGTTCTCTCAACTTCCCTAGCGTATGGCAACGATGATGACAGCTACAATATATCTGTGCGACATCCTCTTACATAACCTCTCACGCTGCATGCAGGCAGCGCGCCACAACCAAATTAAGATCTCACTGGCATCAGCCGGTTAAAATGTCTTATGAGTAATCGTCTAATTTTATTTTTCTCGTACTTACGACTAGGTGACTTTAATAATAGATTTCTTCACAGTATTATACTAGATATTGACAATTTCAATTGCTAAATATTGCAGACATGGAAGATTTTGACAAATGAAAAACTTTTTTGTTGACCTTACTCATTCAGTCATTAAAGTAAACATGTATATATATATATAAGTATCATGGATTAAAGCATTAACTTAAATAAGATGTTGAATGAAATCTAAGTAGATCAAGTATATAATCTTAGAGTAGATCAAGTATATAATTATAAATGAAGCAGTTTTTATAAAAGAGTTGTCGTTTGCCTTTCTATGCATGATAGGAACGCTGCTCGTTCTTGCATCAGTCGAAGTTTTTGCCGAACTGCAGACCGACTGTCACAAATGTGTGGGCTGGTCAGGAACGTCTGTGATCCGTTGCATCATCACAACTATGTAACGAATTTGATTCATTTTCAATTAGATTTGACCAGTACTTCTTTCCAGCTATTAAATTCATCTAATTTTTAGGAAAAAAACATTAATAATTTTGCGTTAAAATATTCGAGTAAATTAATTGTATTAATACCACTAATTAATGTTATATGCATATGCCATAATCGCTATGTTTAATGAACTTCATTAGTGTTTACTCGTTGTACATAACCGATGTTAAAAAGCACAGAGTATTTTTATTATCTAAAATTTTCACTCTGCAACGGAGGTTTTTTAGTTTCATTTACATTATACAGCTTAATTTACTAAATCAACAGCAAAATTTTCATGTCCGTTAACGAAATCAGCAAAATTTGTTGATACTTCACCAACTTTTCTTCTATTAAGGCACTGAGATGAAGAAAGATCGTGCATCATCAAATGAAGTATTCTACTAAAAGAGTTAGAATTTGCTGCCGCTTGCAGTTCGTGATTTAGAGCATCAGACTTCGCGCCACGGCAGCCGCCTAACTTATTGCTTGGCAACACGCATTGCACGAACACTAATAAGACATCGCGGACAACCATTATCCTGCATACCTTCGAGACAGCGAAAAAGTGATACCTCTTACTCTAAAGTGAAACAAATAGATTAAAAAACTTGTAATAAATTTTCCCACCTGTGCTAAAATTTGTTAGGAAATTGTAACGAGAATTTACTTTTTGTCCTGTATAAACTGACTGAAACAAGATATTTAGTGCCATTTGCATTTAATTACGTTTCAAAATAAGTTTCAGTTTACAAAAACAAATCAGATTGAAAGAATGTTAGTTGAACTTATTGGACGTATAGGTATAAGAACTGCGATGTCGAATGAAATCAGTGACGTTTCATTTTCATTTAATAACTGGGTAAACAACACTACACGGAATTCGCATGGTTAATTCAAAGAATCAAGATATCATGTTAATTTATACTTATAGTATAAAAGCTGATAGCTTCGTAATGAACTGAAACCTGTAAATCGATCTCTTTTTTTTTCTTGCAAGCTATTGCCAAACTCACGACTGGACAACATAAAGATTAGCACACTAAGCCTAATTTAAAAAAAATGTATTTTAATGACAAACAGATTACACTTTTGGCAATTTTCGTGCATAAATAAATAGATAGTCTTTAATGTACTGAAACAAATTACTCACTTGTGTCGGCGACGATAACTTTAGAAGTCTCGGTTGGTGGTGAAGTTTGAACTTGAATCTCAGCCTCCATGTTCGGTAGAGAACTAATGACTTCACGTGGTAAATTGAGAGACTCGGTCACGTTGGGAGGCTCCGATAACCTCAACTTAGATAATATTTGAGCTTTGACGAGTTCTAATCTAAGTTCTCGCACAGTGTCTTTTTCTTCCTCAGTTTTGAGTTCGGGCGGTCCGTTGAGCCTCAAACTGCATTTCGCACACTTGCTTGCATCATCTTCCTGATCAGTGTTATTGCTCAACAAATGAGCCTTGAGCTCGGTCACGGTATCATTAAGATGATTAACTACATCACTTATTCTAATATCACTCAGAGGGCTTCTATCACGATTACTTAAAGAACTAAGCGACAAGTTAGGATCTTGAGAAAGTCTCAGGATATCAGCCACAATAGGCGATGCTTTACCTGGTATTAACAAAGCTAATACGAGAACCATCTCTATGGTGTGGGGATAGCTCAAGAGGATGGTATTCACTGGGGAAACGACTGCCATGGCCGATCGTGTGAGAAGAAGCTTGTGGTGGCGGTACCTCTTGTCGAATGTTGGGCCAGCGCGTCATCCCGCTTACTGAGGACGGTCTTCTCTTGCACCATCTTTTATCTACGGCAGCCTCCAACGCAGCGACCCGCGAGCTCCGTCCTTCCTAACCTTCTCACCCAAAACCATGGGTATTGTACCGGGCCTTCGGTACTGAGCTTGCCTTTTCAGGCATAAAAATGACACAATGATTCTACAGGGAAAACACTGATTCCACGATGGTATTCCTCTTGCTGCGAATTTTCTCTATATTGCTAACTGGGACGAAAATTAGAAAAATGCTCGCTAAGTACACTATCATCGACATGCAGGGTAATAACACATTTAATCGAGGAGAAGTTACTTCAATTTGTGTTAAAACTGCGGTGTATGGAATTTCTCAAAGTAAATGCTAGCAGATAATTTTTTAAGTGAAATTTTATATTAAAATGTAATTGTTCAGTTTCGATAACTCGGAACAAAGGATCCTTAGATATTATAAAAGATCCTTTGAATTAGAGGTGCGTGCACCGTAACATATACTGATAATGATTGAATTTTTTAATAAGAATAGTTTTTACCGAAATTTAAATATTTCAACTGCCATTACGAATTTCATAGCTGGGAGAGGAGGAAGACATGTTTCCTAACTGCCGAGCCCGCCATAGAGGCATAGACCTTCCCGGCTCTGAAGTGCGCTGCCTAACTATCCCCCAATTTTCCAAGTCATGCATTACTCTTCAAATAACTTGTGGTCGCTTAACTTGGAAACCACATTTGTCATATTCTCGTCACTATTTTATCTGAACATGTGCTATGGAAATGTTATGAGCATTTGAGTTAATGTGAGTTTATGTTTGCCTGTATTTTACTATTGTTATAGGGTGAGAAGGAGAGGTTATGACTGTAACACAAACGAAAACACATGAGCTTCGACTCTAAATATTTTCTTATAAGAAAAAATACCATTTGTGGAATCGTGGAGACTTTCGCATTACATTTATTTGAATCTCGATTCTGTTACACATTGAAAGTAAAATGATTAATTTAGGCTATTGAAATGTATTGAACTTTCTAGCTGTCCGTAACATCCATTTTCTCATGATTGATTTCGTCAATGAATTGCTCAATGTTACTTCAAATATCGCTTATGGGTTTCAGGTTCAGTGAATTTTAATAATAAAATTAAATTTGCTACGTTTCGTCTATAAAATCTTTCCTAGAAGAATTATTTTTATTTGTATAAACGGTCTAAACCTCTTTCGACATATTGTCTGAAAAAATGAGCAACCTAATAGAATATTGTTTTGGCGGAACGCACGATATTTTTGAAACGAACATTAATTCACGATTGAAATCTTTTGAGTAGCCGTGGTATGATGTTGTTGATTCAACATGAATTTTCGATGAACAACGTGAATGGAATGAGAGATGAGATTGACACATCTGGACTCAGAAATAAACAAAAAACGATAGCAATGCAAAAATCTGCTCTCAGATTTAGCGGGTTAACAAAACATTCGCATTATACTATTGTCATTTAATCATGCTATAAAAAACCTCACATAAATCGTCACCTGCAAAAACTACGCATGTATACAACATGGACATTAAAGCCGTATCTCTCCTTGAGCCAGTACTGTAATTTGCAAGTCATACACCAGACGTAAAATGGTACAGAGGGCAGCACTGTAAGCAAGGGCAAAGTGTCTCGTTATCTCACTTTAAGAATCGTATTCAATTGCATCATCAAGCACTTTTTAGATGGCGATGCGCAACCTGACTAGCAGAACGGCGAGCACGCGACCGGCGCGTGTCAGGCGACCGACGAGGTAATACAGCAGCAGCTCGGCCTGTGGCTGTAATATTAGTGGTGAAAGTCTTTATAGGCTTGTAATTTATTTCTCAAATATATTTTCACATAAAAATTGAAGATGCTTTAATCACTAAGAAGATTTTTTAAATTTTTTTAGTATTAGTTCCGTTGTTTCGAAGTCTCCACCGAGGCAGCAATTCAAATGAGGAACTGTGAAGAATGTGACGGATGTTTTTCTAACGGTACGGAAGTCATCCGCTTTCTCGAATGTGTGATTATGATCCCCTAATTTGAATTTTCCAGATGCAGGAGTAATGAATACTAAGAACTCTCTATGTTAGTCGTTTACCTTGAGTTCATGTGAACTTAAACGCAGTAGCAAACGTTGGTTCACGGTCCCACTGATAGATACATTCAAGGCTGAATCGTCAGTTCATTACAACATTTGTGTGCCGAACCTAAAAGATAATATTGGATATTCTTCAATGACTGAGTAATAACTTAATTTTATTGCTGGTTCTGTCTGGAATTTCGATTCTGCGTTATGCTTTATGGAAATTATTTTTAGCTTGAAATTAGTTCATATTAAGTAAACTCGTAATAGTCAGTGCTGACAGTTGAATTATTCTGCACTAAAGCGAATTCGTGGCTCGTACACGCAAGGAGTTTCTCTAAATACGCAGTGAGGGCTTCGTAGGTCTTGTTTGTGCTACAGATTAATACTAAGTATGAGTCTTATTACAACTCGTTCAAAACAAGCTATGTTTCCTGCTTTGCATGTCCATAGGATTTGAAAAAAAAAAAAAACAGAAGTACAATTGAAGTGAAGCTTTGAGTGTCATTTACAGCGCAACAAAGTGAGCGCACATTTGATTCTTCGAATAATCGAATAATCCCGCTGAATCCTTGACATAAAAAACTGATCGTAATAATTTTCAAGCATGATCTCATCATTCACGAATTTTTTTTTTTTTTTTTTTGCGTTATATGTAGCGAATGTAGTGAATGAAAAAATCAAATAGTAGAAAGTTGCAGCAGTATTAAAATTAAAATTACTTGGCTTATTAGCTCGATAAAACTTGCTCACTAAGTACAACACCGCAGATTTCGTATCCATAAATTTTCCCCACACATTTACGCGGTGGCCTGCTACATCTCGTACCTCAGTGTGCAGAGAAGGCCGACGCCTGCGGGCAGTTCGCGCGCGCCGCGGTCGGAGAATAGAGAGCGCCGGCACCGCGCGGTGCTCCGAGCACTTGGACTTTGGACGGCCTGATGGTATGCGCGGCGCCCCGCTGCGACGGCGGCAGCAGCGCTGTTCCCATGTGCCAACACCCAATCTCCTACAGCTTCCGACCACCACATGGTCGTTATTCTCATTTCACAACCGGAATGTTCTGGATCGAGATCAGCCGAGCATTATTTCGGTGCATTAGCAAGTCTTTAATGACTAGTATATGAGTATAGGGCCGAGTAAGTCTCAAATGACTTGTATGGAGCTTGACAGTGGTCAGCCTAGCATTGTTTCAGTGCAGTAGTAAGTATTAGATGACACATATAAAGCTCAATAATATACGAAATTTTAACACTGCAAATGCATTTGTTTTTACTATACCATTTCTCTCAATATCGTTTTGTGTTTAGCAATTTATGTTCAATTGCTGTGCCAATAAAATTAAAATAAAGTGTATGAAGCGAGCAGCTGAAACATTTAGTTGAAACGACGAAGTGTAACAGCGGCGTATTCTTGACGAATGCTTATGTAATTTTTAAGCTCTAAAAATATTTTTTCAGCCAAAAAAGTAAATACAGATCTTGTGCAGTTATTCAAGTGATAATATATTACAAGCAAGCATAAAGATGCATGAATTTTTGGACACAATTTCAGGATTAGTATGGAAAAATTCATCTTCTGTGTTGAGTTATTACCTTCATCGGAATTACTGTGCCACAATAATTTGCACAGGCGGTAGACAACGAACATATGCTTTTTTCAAAGAGCATTTTCCCAAATATGAAAATACACATTTCTGATGGGTATAATATATGCAATTAAGATTATGCCGCCTCTTTCATCTGCCTTTTCTCCGGCCATGAAGCGGCAGGGCGGCCGCCACCTTGCGGACGGCGCGAGGGCCGCCAGAGCTGCCGTCTGCACTAGCATGGCGTGCGTTGATTTTGTATTTCATCTCTTAAATAATACATTGGCGCATATCGCTCTTACTAGAACAATCTCAAGTTTTTTTAGGTATACTATCTGTGCTTGTTACTATCGCTGGTTAAAAAGCTTAAAATTATTATAGAAATTGTACGAAATTGCAGAAAACATGATAAAGTTGAAGGGGATGATGGAATCAAACCACCATTTTTAACGGATACTCTATTAATTTTTTTCTGCCTTGGGTACAAAGTTCAGAAGGAATAGAGCGCAGCTGTTGCTGTGTCCTGGCCTCCTTCACCTGCTAAACGCTTAAAAAAATAGAATTTTCTTTGCAACTGGAATAACTGTTAAGCAATAAATGTTTTGTGTTAGCGACATTTAGCGAGTGACATGTCAAGTTACGAGCTAAGTAGTAAGCAGTAATCGAAATTCAGTCTGACATTCATATTTTGTGAGTATCTTGATTCAAAACGTCGTCAATCATCATAGGATCAACGGAAGGTAGTAGAGCGATTTTTCGATAATTCGGATTTTTGTTCGCTTACATGAGACGTTATTTGATTTGTCACTTCGCCAGTTGACTGCTAATATTTTTCTTCTGACATATCAAAATATTTATTTTGAATTTGTACGACAATATACATGTGAATCGAAAACAACGTTCGCTTATATACGTGTTTACGTGTAAGTTGTGTTCAGACACAAATCAGTCTTCGTAGAAAAATGAGAGCTCCACCAAGAGTAAAAATGTGCATTATAAAATTTATTAGGGCAAACGAGCCATTAATAATGAACCTTCACATCACTAAACTTTGGCAATAATTTCCAACAGAAAATTATTGCGTTTCTTTCCGTCCTCTTTTTGAACCAGTTTATTAGTACTAGGCTGACAATGCAGCCTAGGTCAGCTTCTATTTCAAGAAATTATCTACAAAAGCAAATTGATCATCTATTTCTTTCATAACGAAAAATTTTTACAGTGCCATCAATCAAATTTTAATTTGACTTGGAATTAATTATTAATGTTTAATTTGCCTTGGAAGCCACTCAAAGTCGATTTTAGCTAATGTATGTAATAAAAACTAAGGACACATATCATCAATTTGTCTCGCATCGCTGCTGCTAGAGATGAAAAAAAGAGATGATTTTACCCAGCAGGAACAATCACTTGTCTGATATAAGTTCATATATGAGATCCCGTGTAGCGGCCTGACATTGACGCCTGAATGAATGTGTATGTAGGCCGAGGAGTAGACCTTAAGGGAAGGAAGGAAGCAGTCACGTGCTAGCATCGTGGTCCAAGCGTGCAGCGCTAACCTTCCTGTTCAAAGCTCGGCGGTTGTCTAGGTAATATGAAGGTATAAACTCTGTGGAAGTGGAGGGAGTAGCAAGCACGGCATTTACAAGCTCACTGCACGGAGTGAGTATCTCCATTAAGAAATCAAGCAAACGCCGAGGCTCACTTAATGAGGGGAATTGTTATCATCAGTGCATCAACGAGCCATTCAGGGGAAATTCTCAAGTCTGAAATAGTGCACTCCAGCACTAAGCACAGATGCAGTGTCATGTAAACCTGTTGAGGATAACAGGACAACATATACTATTTATACTTATTATACTATTATGCTATATTATACTATTATACTGATATTATACTATTATATACCTTAATTTTCATTGAGATTTTTCAGTTCAAGCACAGTTGCTCTTCCACTCTAGTACAATTCAACTCTTCAAAAATGTATTAGGCAATAGTGTTGCGTACATGAACAATTATAGTGTAATAAAATTCGCTGTAATGGGAAAATAATCAATAATCCCTTTTATATGTGACCACATATTTTTTAAACTACTTCCGGGCCTCTAAGATAAGTAAGATAGTCAATTAGCATTGAAATAATTTGTAAGGCGTTCACGTATAACAGCTGAAGCTGATCGAAAAATTGTATTTTTCTTAATTACCAAACTAATAATTATCATATCGGAACTTCAATTGTCGTAGCGAATTATTTTCATTTTCACACTCCGATTGAAAATCCCAAAAGTAATCTGCGAAGTCAAGTTCCAGTATTTATCCTATAAAAAATGTTCGACCATTGAACGAAGAGTTTCCTGCAAGGAGTGAGAGTCGATGGTAGCATGGCAGCTTCACAGCGTTGTGTGGTTCTTACTGTCACTACATGCGGCAGATTGAAACGTTGCAAAATTATCCAGTTTGATAAATGTTATATAGTCACTGAGCAGCTTTTACCTTGATCAAAATAGTAGCAACGAATTGCACAAAAAAACTGTATAGAATACAATATAATAGAAGCGCCTCAATTTAATTATTTTTCGATCATTGGTAACGTGACATTTTCAGAAAGTCTTCATGACTACGAATATACATAATATAATAATAATATAGCGGTTTCAGCGTTTATTAGGCCATAGTCCTGTCGCCGATTCTTAACATCGCAGAACATCCACAGCTTGTTGGAGTCTCGAACTCGCAACTCACTGCCTCAAGTTCTGCTGTGCCTATAACCGCCCGGCCTCCTTGCCGATTCTGACCAGAAACTGGCGCACAGAGCTGGTATCGAACCCGCGCCTCTCTGCTCCCATCTTGGTACTCTGAACTGTAACCACTGGGACACCCTGCCTAACCCTGCTACCTACCAATATATAGATAACTGATGGTAATTTCCTGCCAGTGAGTGAGTATATCATGACAACAAATAATGCATGGTGCGAAATGTATTCTTTGTACAATATGTATTGTCATCACATTAATTAAGCATGATGGACTCAGTGTTGCTTTAAATAGTCCAATAATGAAAATAATCCGTACAACAAGATAAGCCCAGCTCACAATTTCTGCCGACCACCGATTAACGGCAGCTTGTCACATAATTGCGAACTTTCTCGTCGACGCAATTGTCACTTGAGACTACTTTTGTGAGACTACTTTTAGAAAGATTTAATACCAAGAAATACGGACAACGAGGTAATAGTGAGCCTGTAGATTTTGTGCTAGCGGGTTTATTCACATTTGTATTCGCGCTGAACCCTTCAATAGATGTTAACAGAAACTATCTATTTTATCAACAAAACTGGAACCACATCAGTCTAGCGTGATCAAAACAGCTTCGTAGTCATCATTTGGTTACCGAACCCTACAAATCGTAGTTCTGACCAGCCTTAAGGGGACCGTCTAACCTAAAATTTTCAATTTTGGCGTTTTCCACTTTTTGGGCTCATCTTAAAGCTCACTTTTCAACGCATTCAACGGTACCAGAATCATCCCTGTGCGTCAAAAAATGATTTCGTGACAGCTTCCCAAAGAAGGGCAGTTTTTAGGCCCTTTAACAAATGTCTATGGGATTTAATTACAGGGCTAACGATAGAGTCGATAGATATGGTCTTTACAAATCGAATGATACGTGTCTCGATGTTGTAGGATGATATTTGTAGGAGGAGATAGATTTTCTGAAGTACCCGTTATTTGTCCGTTTTCTATGAATATCACGTTTTCTATCAATTTTTTCGAAAAATTCACAGGAGCAAAATGTTTTTCTTTTTACATTTTACGTATGTATGTGAAGTTTCATGTCAATCGGATAATAACTATAGAAGTTATCAAAATTATCAATCGGTCCCCTTAAACGGTTTTTAGTGACGATCGGCGAGGTATGTGCACACTGTGCACATTTTCTGATTAGCGACCTATGCGTCATCAACAGTAGGTAGCGCAACCGTGTGCCACAAATTCCACTCTATAACCGGCTAGCTGATTCTGACTAGCGAATCTGATTCGGCGATATTTCATCATACACCTTCGTACTCGTACTACTGCTCGCAGCCTCGCAAGTTCGCAACCTACGCAACGCTCAGTCGTGAAGATGAGCACGTCGAGCTGTGTTGCAGCTGCTGACATCGTGGCCATACCGTCATGTTGAATGAGCTCTAAGCAACGGAAGAAAAGATCTATGCGTGGTCAGAAGAATGGCTAGTGAATCGACAAGGATTTAGTCAATGTGAATTTTTGTTAAATTTCATACGCAACGATAATTATAATCAAAACGACTATCAAAATTATTAAATGATTATTTATTTTCTTAGCAAAGTTAAAAGTCTGCATTTGGGAACTTTTTCTCGCGTAATTTGAATGAGTATTCCCATGCTTTATCTCTTTGTAATGTGCTCGAATATTCTGCGCTATGGACCTTCCACACGCACGACAAATTGCGGTACTCTTCAATAAATATGGTTAGGAAGTCAGGGCTTGGAGTCCACCATTACTGCACACGCCCTGCTAGCTTGGCCGTCTACATTGCAACTAAACTCGAGCCGAGCCCCACAGCAAGCAGTGGAAGCCATGACTCGGCTCGCTTTTATTTTGCCGGGTGCATGCCGGAGACCAGCTTTGCCAAACTTCACACTTAGTTCATATTTCATTCCGTAGGTAAGAACGCTAGAGGGCATAACAGCCTATAAAGTCAAGTGTTCAAAGCCATAGCGCTGGATGTCCACAGCCACAAAACAAGCTTACTAAAGATAAGCATGGCCATAGCCGCCATACTACGCTACATCTGGCCAAACCTCTTCAGGCCCAACCTACACAAGTTGCAACCTTTCTTCACCCAAACAAACCTGAGCCAACCTAACCTAATTGGCTGCAGGAAGTTAGAAAGGCGGTCCAAGTGCGCTGGTTGAGCCAGTCATTGGTTGCAAGAAGGTTTTGAGCCGGGACAGCGTGAATAGGTTAGGTCAGAAGAGGTTAGGCCGAAGTAGGTACAGCCGGATGTGGAACTGCCTGCTTATGAGCTAGCATGCTTAAGCATTGGCTGAAGACCTACGGCGCTATTATCTTTCGGTAGTGTGTCGCTTGTCTGAATTACGGAATTCAAGCGTTGTCTGCGGCTTCTAGATCTGTGGCTGAGTGAATTTAATGCATGGTGAGGCTGGGCATGGTGAGGATCTGCTCCAGAGCTTATTTAATAATAAAATTTGTGGCCTACGACTGCGCCCCCATTTTACCCACCTTGGCTGGTTCGGCCTCGGCGCCATATTTGGGGGGTTTTGAGGTTTGCCGGGGAATGACCTGTTTGTTAGTTTCTTAATCTCAGTGACTTAACAAGAAAGCTGAACTGAAATCGGAACTTCTCGTGGGTATATAGTTCAGCCATGGTTAAACTGGTTTCTACTAATGCTGGAAAGTTGGACCCATGGTTGATATAATGTATTAATTCAACCAAGGTTGAACCGATTCTCTCGCCTCGATGGTGGAATTAAATGTTCTTGGAACACTAACAATGCCAATAAATATAAGAAAGCATTACCCGGATTGTTTACACTTTGGTCCGGTTTGACAGCTGACTCAAGGAAAGCAAGGTGTTATCTCTGGACTTCAGCTGAGCCAGCATAATAAAAATTTGATTATTTTTGACTAAATTTATCGGAGACTACGGATCAATCTTCAAAAAATGTCTCATTGGTTCCATCGAAATCCTTTGAAAGCCACTGGTGAAGTGAAATTTGACATGAAAATGGTAGCTTCTGATAGCCAGGCTCTCAAAATATGCAGGTAAGCCTACCTATTTGAGGCTATTTCAATCTTGGAGTGGGAGATAATCCCCCAGAGATGGTATATAAGTCATATTTTTTGCAAGTTAAATCACATGAAAAACTAAATTGTCAGTTAAAGAACTAATTTAAAAAGTGGTTTTAAAAACTTGCAGGTACAAATAACAAATGTAAAGTTAAACTTGAATTTCATATTTAGTTAGAAAATTGGAGCTGGAGGTTTAGGTGAAATTTTTGGGCCTATACTGTAAATTGGAAAAATTGAAATTGGAAAATTTTAACAATAAGTAATGGAAATGTTTATTGTGCTTTGGCAAGTCTATATTTTGAAAAGTTACTGTTGCTACTAAAATCAAATGTTGTGTCTATGCTCTCAAAAATTAGGTAGGTGTGAAACATATTTACCTTTTACAGGAACTAGGGTAAATGCGGTATATTCCAACACATTAAGGATGCATCGAGAAATGAAAAACTACTATAAAAAAATAACTGTATGCATTACTTGAGTTCTGTTTGCTTTATGCGACTTGCAAAACACCGTACTACGCGCCAGCTACAATGAAACGTCACAAAATATTGCCATATTTATTTAAAAGCCTTTAGAATGCAAACCTACCAAATCCCTATATTCTGACACTGTGTGTGGCAATATTCGGCACGTGGTAAGGCGTATTCTGTACGCGCTTCAAATTCTACTGATACGTAATGCCGTCATCCATGTGTACGAATTCCGTTTGCTGTGTGAGCCATAGTGGCAAAGCAGAGAGTTCTTTAGACTCTCCCTGAAGTTCATTTTTGAGTCCTATAAGTAGACCAGTAAAGTATCATGGATACAAGCTTTATCATACTTAAGAAATTGGTTTAAATCTTGATTGAATTAGGAAATTAAAAATGAACTGATTCTAAAGAAGCTTTGGTTTGCCACTATGGTGTGAGCTGTATTGGAATACAACACGGCTTTGAATTAGAACACTAATGAATATTGAACACTACTTAATTACGCCTTTAATTAACAACTATTAAGCTTTTAACTAAGCAAATTTTAATTTTTGTACATAGCTTGGAACAATCTGTGTGTTTCCAATTCAAGTTGTGACGGAATTAGTTTTCATGTGTCTAAATCCATTTCTCAACTTAATCATCTATTAATTTATTTACCACTTGAAATCAGCAAATACGAGTATACTTGAAGGATTCCTAATATATTCACAGATGTATTTAAAAGTCTCAAACCATAATATTCTTCCTATAAAAACAGTTATTCACTATTTGGTAGAGCAAGGTCAACTGTCAAATTTGACACATTTTTCGATGATCTCACTGGGTAGCGTGCATTGTCTCTCTTTGGATCTCAATATTTTCCCGCTAGATGGCCAAGACCTAGTGTTTTGGCATTAGTTCGACGCGCAAATGTATGACGTCACCATTTCAACCATCAACGAACGCATGGAACTAAAACTAAGCTTAATATAAAGGAAAAACTAGAGAGGTGACGGAATTACCCACGATGTCGGAATATACCGCATTTACCCTAGCTAGTGTTGTGGATATTTTTCAATTTTCACTCAGGCACATTTATGTCTGCAATTCTTAGAAATTGCCCATAAAGTCATGTTTTCTCTGCAATTTTAGGAATATTCTGTCTGATATTTTAGATCTAATTTAAAATATTGGGCACATGTTATCTTAAATTAGTGGTAAAATAATAATTTCAAAGTTGGTTTTAAAAATAGTGGGTGGAGATAGGTCATCCTTTTCTTAATAAATAAATTAAAGACTGGCCATAGAAACTAGTGACACTGACACAGGTGAAATTGGCCAGATTGACTGGTGTTTTTATTTAATTTACAGGTGACTTCTGCCCAATTTTCCACTTAGGTTTCAGATTAGAAAATGATCATTTCATGGGTGGGTGATTTTCCAAAAGTGTGCAAGGGCAATAGCTATGGGTGCAATTGTTGATTAGCTTGGCCATTTTTTATTCATAGTTGGCTTCTGCCTGATTTTTCAGTTTGGAATTAAGCTACAAGGTTTCTTTTAAAATTTTTTAAAAATGTGTCTTAATATTCTAAATTCCCAGTAAACTAAAGAAGACGGTTTTCATTGGTATTTTATGGTACAGATGGAGATTTATTTAAATCACCACCAAAGTTCAAATGTTGGCTTCCATAGCTTTAAAAATGAATTCTTGAGATAAAACCCAAATTTATGGCTTAGAATTATATTTTTAATGGCTGCAAAATTGATAAACTCTGATCAGTTTGGCTTTTCATTTTTCATTAGTTTTTCAATTAATTTGTTATCATCTTTTTTCATAACTTTTTCAGTGATCTGAAGCAGTCTCGTAAGCGGGTGCTGGAGTTACTGCCAGATGCCAATCATGAGATCAGCGTGGTGGAGCCTGCACTCACCTTATATTTGGCACTGCTGCGAGGGCTCATCTATGCTCCTGATTCCACAGACTGGTCCAAGCTGAGGCACTCTCTCAGGTTCAAATGGACACACTCAGTTTTGGGCAACACACCAGAGTAAGTTCTGTCAAGTACATATCTAAAAATATATAATTTTGTGCTTTTAGGTATAGTAAACACTGTTTATACATTTAGGATTATTTTCATTTTTGAATTACTCAAATCCATTTATTATATTTTCAGGAGCCAATTTGATGCCATATTTGAGCTGGTATCTGTACTACAAAATGCTGCTTTCTGGTACTTTAAACATGCGGCTAAAGTTGCAGCACAGGATGAGTGAGTTCATTTGATTTTTTATATGAACATTATTTTATTACCTGGTAGTTAAATTTTTATTGCTCATTTGGTTTGAAAATAATCTTTATTGGTGGTAATTAAATATGTGTGTCAGTTAGGTCCAACCTCTGTAGAAATATTCTTCATTGGTTGAATAATGTATGAATTGGCTTCATTAGTAGCCAATTTTGCTTCTGTGATTATAGAGATAATTTAGGCATTTGGCTGTGAATTTTCTGGTTTCTTATCATAGTAAGGGCGCAATGATTTGCTTATTGTCTAAAATTTCTATGGGATCAAAGCAAAACTTTGTTAGGGGACTCAAGTACAACTAATTTTATCTTAGACAGTGTCAAATATGTTATCAGTGACCAAAAAAATAAAATAATGTGTTTAATCTCTAAAATAATGTAATTTTAATGGTATTAAGGAAAATAACTTTGATGACAATTAACATTTACCTCCATAAAAGTGAGACCGCTGTTAATCTTTAATACCTCAACTCTCTATCTCTTCTTCCTATGTGACTATCATTGCCAAATCCTACCAGTCTGCCGGCCATCCTACTTTGCTGTAGTTAACGATTCCTCTAATTTTCTAGCCACGTTTCTGTTATGCACAACAACAATAACACCTCATGGAATTTCAGCGTGAGCAGTGATGAGGCAAAGGAGGTGCACCGAAGCTTGCGTCGGGGAGCAGGCCTACTGCAGCACGCGCAGAACGAGTGGCTGCCTCACCTACTGCAGCAGCCACTCGCCGGCTCCGATGGCGACCCCAGAGTCCACACTGCATACTTGAACCAAGCCACCGCAGAGGCGCAGGAGGGTACGTCCTTACATCGTAGCACGCTCTTCTCGTTGCTTGTTTCCTGTCCTGAAACTATTGCATTGCAGAGTTAAAAAATACAATTTTCATCATCTCCCTTCAGGTGATCATTTATAGCAAGGGAAAAGTTGGCTGATGTAAGGTTTCGTAAGTAAGTTATATATATCCTAAATTGGTAATTTAACTGATGTTGAAAGCTCTTTTTTACCATTTCAATTTTGTCAAGAAGATAGAGCTGCATGGTTTTATGATGAAATGGGCACCTGACGCTTTTAAGTACGGTCATATCCCGAGGTTCCAAGGTTTAAAATTTACCACTCCAATCTTCAATGATACGCTAATATGAGCTCGTGACATATTAAAAACTGTGCAGCTGTGTGCATTAAGATTGAGATTTTATGGTATTCTAATCTTGATTCTAATGTTCATATTTGTTAATATCGTATTATTCTGACCATAGATTGCATAAAACGTGGACATTTTATGACCTGTGTAACGTTCATGTGGCAATTCGGTCACGCCATTCCACACGTGCAATGCGCTCCGTATATATGATTACAGTGACCATCGCCCGCGCTGTGGAACTCAAGCACAACGCTGGCCTCATCTCGGCGCTCTGCCACGAGACTTCAAAGATGTTCACCACCGCCGCAGACTCTCTCGCCTCACTGGATCACAAGATATTTGGCCATTGGATGAACTATCTCAGGCTCAAGGCTGCCTTTTATCTTGCTTACGTGTGTACTCATTTGCTCCATTATGGTGGAGCAAATTTCTAAATGTTAAGGGTAAATTTTGACACTTCTCTGATGTTAATGAGCTCAATTAATACAATATTCGTGTACATTTTTAAAAGTATTACTGAGCATCGGACAGGATAAAATAACATTCATGTTATGAGTCATGTTTGTTTGTCCAGGCTTACAACTACTCTGGAGAGAATCTCCTGAATCAAGACAAATGCGGGGAAGCCATCAGAGCGCTGCAGGAGGCTAAGAAGTGTGCGTATCCGTTCTTGATCTCCTCCGGAATTACTAATGTGATGCTATTATTTGTTAGTGAAACCACCATCAAAGAATGGAACAGCTTCAACTCATTGCCTACCTATCTACTATTTGTCACCTAAAAATCTCCTTTGCATTATTTAATAAATTCTTCATAAAGATGGTGGGTTATTTGACTTAGTTGAGGCCTTTTCACACAGTAAGTGTAGGAGAATTTGTCGAATTACACGTAAGACCTCTCGCGCACTCCATCCTAAATGACTTTGCCGAATAACTTTAAAGCTTTTTGTATTTACATTATATCATAGACGTAATTGCTGATTGAAATCCGCCTCGGACATTCTATTTTGTGTAAGGGGAACGATTTCCGCAGGCGGAAAGCTATCCGTCTTCTACTACAACTAGGCTGTGTTTTGGATGCAGCAAGGCAGTTTTAAGAAAAAAATGAAGTATGAAAATTATTATTTAAAACGAGATGCTCATAATAAGTTTAATAACTGAATCGAAGTTGAAATAAAAAATGATTATTTTTCAACGATGCTGTTCTCATTAATGAATACGTGAAATAAATGTGTCAGTAAATCGAGTCCCTGTTTGAAGTTACATCCCTGCGCAGCGTACGAGGGGGCGGCGGCGCTGTGCAAGGAGTACTCGACCACCAAGGGCCCCGGCACCAAGGCCAAGCCCGACCGCCACCAGTTCTTCAGGAGGATCGCCCCCATCATCAACCGCACCCTGGAGAAATGCGAGAGGGAGAACGGCATGATGTGAGCATTTATCCAATGTGGAGAAATATTCTCTTAGCTACGTGACATTGTTTACTTTATGGGTGGTGACTGTACGGCATGATGTGAGCAGTTATCCTGGTAGTTAAATTTATGAGAAAACGAGCGAGCTTGAACAACCAGATAACGGCTGCCTCCGGGAATATAGAGAGGCAGAGGCTGGAACATCTAAAGGTTAAAATTAAGGAAACTGAACGACAGTTGCAGGACTCACACGAGGCCGAGCAACAAATTGCAGAGGCGCAAGCNTTTTAATTGTTATCTATAGCACATTTCATCATTTTTGTAAAGCTCAGAAGTGAGGTATTTGTTGTCTAATCTGGTTTTATTAGCATAAACGACTGCTGTATTCTTATATTCTTCACATGGCTGTTGATAGTTCAGTTTGTGATTATGTTTGGGCGTGCCTGTGTGAGTTATGTCTTTAAATATGTTATGAACCTCACTAAACTCTATGGTCACATGCAATCTTTCTTTCGCAGCGCCAAGCTGCTGTGTAATATAGCTGCAAGTATAATTAATTATACTTATAAATAAAAAAAATTTACAGTAGTTTACCGCATAACTTACCCAAGTCATTACAATCTAAAGGAACTAGCTACCTGGCCTTTAAAAGAGTAAGCGTGCAATTTGTGTAATGTACCAACTCACGCGCTAGAATTAGCGCCCGAGACGTACAGATGAACTATATCTCATAGATGTGTAAAGAGACAGCTATACGGCATGATGTGAGCAGTTTTTTTTTTGTAGAGAAATGTTCTGTGCTACGTCACAGTGTTTACTTTAAGGGTAGTGTCTGTAGGGCATGATGTGAGCAGTTCTTTATTGTAGAGAAATATTCTGTGCTACGTCAGTGTTTACTTTAAGGATAGTGACTGTACGGCATGATGTGAACAGTTCTTTATCGTAGAGAAATATGTTCTGTGCTACGTCTCAGTGTCAAGTTTAAAGGTAGTGACTATACGGCATGATGTGAGCAGTTCTTTATTGTAGAGAAATGTTCTGTGCTACGTCACAGTGTTTACTTTAAGGATAGTGACTGTACGGCATGATGTGAGCAGCTATCCATCCTATGGAAATCTTTTCTCTGTTTCGTCTCAGTGTTTAATTAAAGGGTAATGAAATGAACTGGTGAACAGCACGTAGTAAGTGGTTGTTATTGTTGAAATTCTTATATGATAGAAGAAGGGAACATTAGTGTACGAGTCTTCAAGGCATCAAATATCCAAGTATATTTATAGGTAGGTAGTTCGGAATGGTAAGGGTTCGATAGTATAGATTTTAGACCATGAAATTTATAAATCTTACTTTACATCATTTAATCTGAATTTCTGGTCTATCCCATTGTAGCTTTTCTAAACGCCCGTAAGTCTTGGTTGATGTTATGTCTTGCAACCTAATTCACTTGTAGATTAACAACATGAAAGAACATTTTCTTGGAATTTTCTATTCATAACAATTAAATTGATCTTTCATCATACAATCGATAGTCTGATTTCCCATTTTGAAGCCTTAATTTCTCGTAAATAAGATGCGACATCTTCCCAAGTGAAAGATGAACGCCCATTCATGCTCGTGCAGCAGTTCTATTGTAATGGTCGCTCTGCAGCTACCATCAGAAGGTGCCGTACGACGCCCCTGAGCTAGAGCTGCGTGCCACCTACGGCCTGGCGAGCCCTGAGGAGTACTGCCTGCCTCCAGCCGCGCCCCTCTGGTGCGCCGCCACCTACGCCGCCTTCGACCTCACCAAAAACATGGCCAGCGATCCTGCCGTCAACTCGGTTAGTGGGCACGCAGCTCCTTGTTTTCAGGCACTCAATAAGGCCTTTATTTATTATATTAATCTTTTAATTTAAGAATACATTAACCGTTCTCGATGATACTCGTGCCTAAGGGCCTGCTAGCGGGAGCTGCCTTCAATTGGCTCTGGGATACAGTAGCAATAATTGCTCAACTCGGTTACTGAGGCTACCATACTAAACCAAAATTTCATCGTTATATTTTGTATTTAAAGTATTTCTGTGCTGAAATTAAACAGAAAAATGCAATATTTCCTTCATAATCTTCCAGGGAAAGATGAATTTACTTTCTATTTTTCCAGAGGTAATCAAACAAATTGCCTTCTCAACGCAACAGAGATACACTCAACATAAAAAAGTATGCCCTGATATGGCGCCCTGAACGCTGCAGAAATTGACATGCAGGAGAATGAAAAAGAATCCTAGCAAAAATTCGAACTGCCACTATAATCTGTTCTCGAACTTTTGATATCCGATTTACCGAAGAGTATTAAATTGTCTGTTAATTCTAAAGTTAAAGTTAAATTGTCTTTTATAGTCAACGTGTGTTACATAATCGAATTTTCATCTTTAATAAGTTTATCTCATCAAATGATTAGCACACATCTAATATTTTATTTGAAAAAATTTAGGTTGTAATGTATGATAAATTTGCCGGGCACAGAACCTATTTATTTGATGCGCAGAAAGCGGCGCAGAAGGTGGAGGGCGACCTGGCCCCCGTGCAGGAGGCCGCTGTGCACCAGAAGGACGCGGACCACAAGAGTGACAGCGGCTGTTCCCTCATGTAGGCGCCACAGCGCGCCCTTTGTAGGCGCCACAGCGCGCCCTTTGTAGGCGCCACAGCGCGCCCTCATGTAGGCGCCACAGCGCGCCCTTTGTAGGCGCCACAGCGCGCCGTTTGTAGGCGCCACAGCGCGCCCTTTGTCCTACATGAGGAGCCTCACACCCACGGGATCATCCACGTCTTGTTGCTATTTTACTGCTTGAAAACTGCACCTCAACTCAGATTGTATTTTCACTCTCCATATCTTACTGATGGATTTATTTCATAAAAATAATAATAATAATAATACTGTTGTTGTCCTTAGCGTGATTTTTTGTGCACGTAACATCTCTACTATGTTAAATCTTCTAAAGAATTTTTTTTCCTTAGACGGGAAGTTATCTACCATTTTATTCATTTTCTTCGCCCCTGTTTTCAATCGTAAAAGTCGCAGTTAGTGCGATATTCCATACATCGTCATAATTATTTTGTATTAATAACATATTGTTGTATAATTTCATAATTTATGTAGCTTTTAGTGTAAAATAATTCCCTTGCATTAATTTTGTAGTTGGGTCCTCGAAGCTCTGTTTTATTTATTCTAGATAAGACACTATAGATTATTATCTACGTTTTGATTGCAGTACAGACCAAAGAATTCCTTACATTTATGAGCAAATTAGAGAAATACAAAGTGCAAAAAGTATAAATTTGATTTTCTAAGACTAACGAATCATTTTTTGATAGGGTAATTTAGAGTAATCTTTTATTCACTTTTCCCTATCATTGCATGTTAGCGTTCTTATCTTCATTATTGCATGCTGATTTTTGAATATTATTACATTCAGAGATTGCAATCAATGTATTTTCATTTAAACGCCAATTTCCACCTATTGCCCTTGGTATAATTACGCAACCAATTTTCATGATTATGTTGCTTCTGTTAATAGCCTTGAAAGTTCGTTTGTATGATATTTGTTGTTACGAAGTAATCAAAGTTTTAATTGTTATCTATAGCACATTTCATCATTTTTGTAAAGCTCAGAAGTGAGGTATTTGTTGTCTAATCTGGTTTTATTAGCATAAACGACTGCTGTATTCTTATATTCTTCACATGGCTGTTGATAGTTCAGTTTGTGATTATGTTTGGGCGTGCCTGTGTGAGTTATGTCTTTAAATATGTTATGAACCTCACTAAACTCTATGGTCACATGCAATCTTTCTTTCGCAGCGCCAAGCTGCTGTGTAATATAGCTGCAAGTATAATTAATTATACTTATAAATAAAAAAAATTTACAGTAGTTTACCGCATAACTTACCCAAGTCATTACAATCTAAAGGAACTAGCTACCTGGCCTTTAAAAGAGTAAGCGTGCAATTTGTGTAATGTACCAACTCACGCGCTAGAATTAGCGCCCGAGACGTACAGATGAACTATATCTCATTTCTCAAAGAATTTTATAGATAGTATTTTACTTACTTATTCCTTACGATGATGTCACAACCATTACCAGAGATCTACTTAAGCTATTTCACCGCTCTGTGACTTGAGTCATATTTTTCTCGCTTCTAAGGAGTGACAATATGATTATTCTTCTGACAGAGAACAGGCTGGTGGGCGCATTTGTCGCCACAAGTCTTAACCCCAACTATAAAAAAAATATGATTATTCGTCACATTCACGCTTTTTTGTACTGCCTACCGCTGTAACTTGGTTGCTCTCTTAACCGGTAGGAAATGTCTTCTGGCGATAAGGCTTATCTTGAGTTGGAATAAAAGTGTAGTGACATCTCCAAAATATCAGTCAAATAGCCCGCTGTTGCTGCATGAGTATCATTTTATTTGGGATTTGATTTCATAAGTTTTAGCTTCCCGACCGAGAAGCTATGCTTCTCAAAAGAATTTGTGTACGTGTTGTACCACATAATATTATTCCTCGCGCCGACTGCATTATTGCTAGGCATCCATGTTTTTATGCTCGTAACATTTCACTCCAAACGTGCACCGGCACCAAACACTTCTTGACGAGTGCACTAGGCAGAATTTTATTTCCTTGGAGTTACCCGGATGCGGAGTTGGTGATGAGAGACCGAGCTGTGGTGGTGCAGTGGTGAGAGACTCAGTCTCTCGCACCCAGCTCCCGGGTTCGAGTCCCACTGAGGACAAGTTCTACCGGGAAGCTCAGCTCATGTTCAACTCAGCCATTCATCCAACTCTGGTTGATAAATGAGTACCTGGCTTGTCCAGGGTGTTGTGTAATGCAATAAAATGGTTCTGGCGGGTCAGCGAGCCAGTGATGGTCGAAGAACTACCAGTGGCACCGAGTGCCCGGAAAAACTGACCTATCACCCCCTCCCTTACCAAGTCGCCACTACCAGGATGGGCAATTACAACAACAACATGAGAGACCGACAGACGGTTCTTCTTTCTTTTCGAGTATTTACGCGCTAGAACAGTGATTAACTTACCTAATAAATCATACAACATAATATCATGCTATTTTATTTTACAGCTTAATTAAATGAAGAAAATCTTCTGAATTGCGATTGATGTTTTGCCGCACTAAGCATTCACGACACGGCTGTGACAGATGCACAAGCAACTTTTACTATTGAGATATCAAAGAAGCACAGAGAAAACTTCCATAATTTATCTTGCACCTCGAAACATCATGTCGAAGGTAGGCATGGAATTGATTACAATTCTTCAACCATTTGTTTCGCGTTCCAGGTTTCTAATAGTTCGGGGCCAAAATGTGCACAATGTGTCCATCCGACAATGGTTGCTTGCTGGTGATACTAAAGCCAATTTTAGGGGAAAATTTTAACCATCGGTCAAAGAGAAACGAAAAGAAGTGCAAAATAAATCGAGTTCATAACTTCTAATAATGGCCCTAGAATGGGGATGACAGACGAAAATTGCTTTAAAGCCATCACGCTGCTATTCCTCGTACAGGTGAATCCTCTAAGGGAATAAAACAATGCTGACAATGTACAATATCTTACATAGGTCACCAAACATAATCTGAGCCGGTTTGCTGGACTTTAATTTTGGCCTCGTCTCGAGTGAGCTGCTCAGCAGGCGAAGGTTCTTTAGATGAACCGTCTTCATTTAGATTGCCTTCCTTGAAATCTTGCACGATTTTCTCCGTGTAAACTGCGTGGAACAAATCCTGTGCCGTGAACTCCGGCTGCTCGATATCAGGCACGCGGTACGAGACGTATGGCTTCAGCTGCAACCAAAAATGAATTGATTATTCTCTATAAAATCAAGCCGCATTTCCAATAACCTTTAGAATTGAAATGTATTTTAACGAAATATCATTGCGCGGCTATCAGGAGCAGACACTTTGATTCACTTTTGCTTAGAGATTAGTTCTAAATTAGAGATGATTCTATCCTATTCACTATTCAATAACATGAGCATTTTATTTCTCACTACGGTACGAACATTTTACAAGGAAAATGACGCCAGCGGATAGTAAATATTACCAGAACTACTACAGGACGCGGCGCAGTCAATCATCATGGAGCATTGACATTCAAAATATGGACAGATTCTTATAGTCCTGTTTTTGAAACACTTAGAAAATCATATCAATAGAAATCATTACTAATTATCATCTAGTCATGGCTTTGAATTGAATCGACTGAAGTTTTCTCAGACTAAGGGTGGCCCAGTGGTTAAAGTTCAGAGTACCAAGATTGACGTACTAGAGAGGCGTGGGTTCGATCCCAGCTCTGTACGCCAGTTTCTGGTTAGAATCGGCAAGGAGGCCGGGCGGTTCAGCGCAGCAGAATTGTAGCAGTGAGTTGCGAGTTCAAGACTTCAAAATGCTGTGAATGTACTGCGATGTTGAGAATCGGTGACAGGCCTACGGCCTAATAAACGCTGAAACCGCTATTATTACTATTATTATTAAGTCAAACGGAGCACGACTCGACACGCACGCACATCAACTTGCCTTGAATCCTTCAAGATCTGGCACGATCAAGTCGGGAATCATTTCAGGGATGAACTCTTTTTCGTAAGGCTCGACATCCCTGGGGTGCCACATGGTCTTCCTGACGAGGACTTGATTGCGGGATATGTTAGGAGAAACGTCCCAGTGGGCAGGGAAAGGCTCGAACTCGTATCTCTCTTTTGCAGGCTTTTCATTAGGCACGAACTCCTGGCCTCCTACAGGCAGGAATGGCTCCCGGACACCGCGACCTGCAGCATGAAGTTATTATACTTAGAACACCATAACAAATGGGAATACATACTACCTGGAATTGCTTCAGAAATAATAGCTTGAACATTAAAAAAAATTAGCTTATGACTACCATCTGAATCAATACATCAGACAAAGATAGCAAAATTTTAGTGTGAAACTCTCATTTTCACTTTAAAGGACATATACCACCAGCATCTACATCCTATTTTGATGAAATTTTTTGTATCATTTGTCAATAAATATCCTCGTTATAACGCTATTGGAGTAAATCGGCAGTAACACTTTAAAAGTTTCAAGAACCCTCCTTCAGCTCCACTGCACTCCGTGTATAAACGATGAACAAGACTCACTGAATCGTTTCTCGAACTCAGGATATTTGCCCTCCTTCAAGTTCTGCTGCAGCTCGGGCGTGGCGCGCTTCTCGTACAAGTTGAACTTCTTGAAGCATCTTCTAGCGCGGGCGCTCGCTGAAGTCGAGAAGCGTCGCGCCGCTTGCCCGCAAAACATCTTTCGCCTCTTACAACCTTGTCTTATGGACACAAATATACAAAATATACAACCTAGTCTCGAGTATTATAGACACAAATATTCTCAGAAGAACAACTATGACGTAGTATCATCTGTCAGGCATAAGGATTATTGTAAGATTCCTTTTGGCTTTTTCTAACATCTAGACGCCAACATAATAACTGCGCGTGTTAAAAGATGAATACCTTATATGACTGGATTTTCACAAGCATCATGATTTATGTAATTATAACAGAGCAAAGCAATGAATAAAAGAGCATGGAAGTCAAGCAAGGGAAACATTAACTTGAATTAACTCTTTGAAAGATTACGAAGTTATCGACTTTGTAAATAAAAATTTATAGTGGAAAACCCGACTTTTTGCTTCTTTTCATAATTCATGGTGAATGAAAGACTACGAATTTATCGACTTTGTAAATCAAAATTTATCGTGGAAACCCCGACTTTTTGCTTGTTATTTTCACAATTCATGGTAAAAAATTGAATATAAAGTAAAAAATATCCTAATATTTTACAAAAAGAAATGGCACAATTATTTTTGGCATCGGGAACGAGGGATCGCCAGACCCTTCTGTCTCCATGTCAGAAGGCGCATGCTAATGATTTTTGTAAGATAACGTTTAAGAAAACCTGCAAACAAGCGAGCGATCGCACTGGCAAATTGAAAAAAAACTTACATCACGTTGAAGCTTTACATCGGAGGTTCCAACATCAAAGTATGGAGCTTGAATGTTAATATTTTTATAATTGGATATTTCCTCTAAAATTGATTATAGTGATAGGAAATTAATGAAACGCCTTCCAAATAGAGACATTTTCCCTGCGATTGATTAGTGAATGAATACATCAACAAAACAAGTTTATTAACTTAACGATCACCACAAGAGCAACAGCAGCTAAAGGCAATGTTTACCAATATTTCATATACATCGATTCATGTAACAAGAGAATATCATCAGATAATAAAGTAACACGCACTTTTACGTTTAAAGAAATGTTATTAACTCAAAAACGAGCATACAAACTGAATAAATAATTAAAAACGAGTATCTATTTTTTTGCATTATGAAAAATCTGAATGACTAACACTGAGCCATTAATATCAAAATCAACTTCTTTCAACACGGTTTTCTTACAAACAAAGCAATACGATTTTGTCCAAAACGAAAACATTTCCCCAAATTGCTCACATACGCAACACTTACTTGAACATCCCTCAATCAAGAACAATTAGTTAATAATAATTAATAAACAAACACTGCAAAAACCTATCAACACATGAGTCGGCAATTAGAACTTCTTAGATCGCACCCAGAAGACACGTTCAATTCTGCGTTGCAGCACATGTGCGAAGAGTAGGATTTTCTCACATCAATACGAAATGGACATGTTTACGTTGGCATGGTTGGCTTTAGGAGGGTAGATTTGTCCAACTTCAGTGAAAAAATGATGAAGAACTTGCTTGGAATTTTCATGATGACACACGAAGAGATATTTCGCAAGATATTGCTCAAGGTATTTCTCCCTCATACCAGATCGCATTAATGATTTTTTGACGTCACACCACATGCTTTCGACTGTTAGCGTGCAACACTTGGAGTCAATACTAGACGCGTTCGTTGTTGCAAGCACATATTCATGACTACTCAGAGATGCATACTCCATGATATATTCAGTACAAATTACCGAACCTGGCAGAACATGTTTTTTGATTAGTGGAACCAAGAGATCTTCGTTGACTTCTTGGTTGCGAAGAGAAACAACGAAGGACTTTTTAGAAGCCCTCTCAATGCCACCCAATAGCCACGTTTGTTGGATGCTGGTCATGCCAATTTCAACAACCACGCCCACGCCACCAATCGGATTTTGCCTGTGAAACCAATCCTCCAAAACGTCAGAGCAATAACTTCGCCAAAACACTGAAGTTGAGCGAGAAAATTGCAGGCATTCATTAATGCATTCATGGTCCCAATTTCTGCTCAGCCAATGGTTAACAAAAAGCAGGCATTTCCAGGGCTGGATTTTACTCTTTTCCAGAAGAGTGCCGGCGCAGTCAGACACTTCGTAATTACAACACTTCTTGCGTCCATCTAGGTGGTCAAGGAACTGCCTTCTGCAGCGCCACGAGCGCGTGTCACTTCTGAACGAACAAGGACGATGGCATTTCTTGCACTTAACACCTAAAGGCAAGACTCCGTGGGAGCGTAAAAATTCAACACTTGCTTCATTATCTCCGTAAAACTTACCTATGGTCTTAAGGTAGTCAAATTTACACCCAATGCACAACACATCGTCAGCACTCATTACTGCTCCTAGATGCCAGAGAGCCAAGTTCTAGACTGTGAGCCCTGCAACGCGAGTTAAAGCATTAGATCGCTTACTGTTAGTTTAAATTCCAATGATACCCACATCAGGACTCAATCATGGCATGACTTGGAAACGAATGTCACTCCATCATAAAACAACTGATAAACTAATTCCAGTTCAGTGTGTATAATTCAGTAATAAATGAAATTTACCGCTTAAAGAATTCAGGTAAGAAGAATGAATGGTAAGTTGAACTAACATCAATCAAGATGAGCATTAGAAGGAAAAACGAGACTCTACAGTGACAGCGCAAGACGCCGAAAATTCTTCTTACGACTTGTCTGCCGCGGCTAGGGGCGCTCAAATACTGAGACGGCGTGCCTGCAGTCAGGGACTGCTACATACGATGGGGGAATTATTATATACGAATTATTTTGCAGTATTTTTCTCAAACGTACTAACAATATTAACGATATGCTACCCGCCTTCGAGAGTGGCACAGCTCACGGCGCAGTAACATTGTATCTCTGCCACTCGTCACTCAGAGCGGCACAGCGTATGGTGCAGTAACATTGTATCTCTGCCACTCGTCACTCAGAGTGGCACAGCGTATGGTGCAGTAACATTGTATCTCTGCCACTCAGCACACAAGAGTGGCACAGCCTATCAATTTCACTAGGGAAGCCCGGGGATTGTGAGGTCCCCACACAGCACCAACGAGTAGACAACTCCTCAGCGCAACTCCCTGGGGTTGTGATTGTAAGTGAGCAGAATAGTCATTTTACCGTTTAGTTGTTGTCTTTAAATATTGAATAAACTGAACAATATCTATCTATATGTATATACGTATAATATACACTTAAAATTTTCATCGCATTATAAATCTATACATATATGTAAAATGCTTAGAAAATAGACTGCTACAAAAATAATTGCATAAAATTTCATAGTGACAATCATTGGAAGACTTGATTGCTTTAGTATCTAAATAATATTTTATCCACCTTATCTATCCAAAGCAATGCAATTAAGAACAATCTCTAGTAACAGCTATACAAACAGAACAACTCCTTATACAGAAATTATCTTCACTCAAGTGTTAACTATAGTGAAGTTTCCAGGGAATTAGGGCTCTTTTTTTACACATCATCAGGAGCGCAACCAAGCACAGAAATTTCACAGGTATTGAGAGATCTTTGATATATGAATAACCAAGTCATTACTATGACTATGAATGATAGAACCTCCGAAGCAGTATCCAGAAAATCCTAAGGTATACCGTAGTAGTTATATTGAGCAAGTCCATGACCGAATTTTTCATCTCAAGATGTGAGCTGAACTCTCTGACGACCATACTACAGGCAGCAGGATCATCGCTGGGCGACGGCGAACTGACACTGCAGCAAGTCTGCAATGCCACAGGAGATCAGGTCTCCAGCCTTGACAGGTCCCACGCCCGCTGGGGTGCCGGTGAGCACAAGGTCTCCAGGCTGCAACGTGAAGATGCCAGAGATGTACGACAGCAGCGTCGGTATGTTGAACACCATCTCGCGGGTGTTCCCTCTCTGCCTGTCTTCACCATTGACCTGTTAATCACACTCATCGTATCAATAGAATTACAACACTTGTAAATAATATAAAATAGCCTATGTTTTCTTCTACGATTTTCAAAATGTGCTTGTATAACATTTTTGTAATTGAATAACACCTGAAAATAGGTACATTTCATTGCATTAGAAACTAGACATCTTCCACAAGTGTTCGAATGATATGAACCAATTCTAACTGGTTTATTTAAAAAAATGGTTGTGTTTCTCAAACATTAAAACATTGAGCGTTTCTCAAACATTAGAAGGCTAAACAAGTAAAAAACTTGTACAAGTATACATAAGTAAAAAAATTTTATTTGAAAGATTTATTTATTAATTTATTTATTTCTTGAAAGATTTATTTATTTATTTATTTATTCATACCAAACTTCTCTGAAATGTTTACTAAGGAAGTCGGAAGCAGCCTGTTCCTCTCAAACGATTTGCAGTACCGGGTAATGATGATAAAACAAATGTATTGGATACAATCAAACTTCATCCAAATTAAATTAAACTTGAGAGAGCGACAGGTTATTAACAAAACAAGAGAAGAAGAATATCACCAACACCCAACATCAAATATTATACGACTGACCTTACACCAGAGCACAACGTTATGAGGCTCAGGAAGTTCTTCTTTAGTTATAAACCGTGACACTGGCAGTGAAGTATCAAAACCTTTTGCTATTTCCCAGGGCTGTCCTTTGCTTTTGCACTGTGAATGAACAAATTACACAAAATTAAAGAAAATTTAAAATTTTGTTGACCAAGTCTTAGTAACAATTAAATACAACAAATTTTTACCAACTTCTGAAACTGCATCGAGCAGATTTCATCAAACTCGCTTCATTTTTCTGCTCAACAAGGGTGACCCCTAAATTTAATTAAACCTTAGCACCAGAGCATTACATAATATATCTAGACTTTCAAAATAATTGTAATGACAAATGAAGTTATTTGAAGTACACATGAACATAATGCACAAGTATTAACCTCATTTTTTATTAAAGTACACATCAGGCTTTGAAATTATTTTAATTCAATTTCAATTATTGTAATACATCATTGAAACTAGGTGAATCAATCCATGAGTTGGTGGTGGAAGGATGAGCTCTGTAATTCACTACAGAAAGTGAGAATCGCCAATCCAAATTAGAACATGATGGACTCAATCCCAGATATGACATATTTTTAAGGTAGATTATGATCAGGTATATATATGGACAGGTTGACAAAACTAACCATTTATTAATTTGTGTAATTTATCAACAGTTGGTTATTATTCCAACTTACTGTATGTAAAAATATGCAAGAGATTGTAATAATGAGAAAAATGCAAACAACATTTTCTTAAGAATGTGTTTGAGGCAGGTTTGTTTTATTTGCTTGGCAAAAAAGAATAGTCAATGAAAAATCTCAGTTATTAGGTAGCCACACTGTTGCTCATGACAGGAATAATTTTTACTGAACTCAATTTTAATGTGAACAGTCATTTCAGCACCATCTCAGTCAACTGACATCCATCATCAAAATGCTACTTAACATTTAATAGCGTAACACTTGCAACTTGACTGAGCACGCCTGCCTCAAATAAGCTTTACGTCAGTGGTTATATATATACAAATAAACTATTTTGTTTGAAGTATAGAAATTGCATTAGTTCTATTAGAGCTGCTATACAAATACCTTCTCCTGAAAGTCCCTGGCAGTCATGTCTAGTGCGAGTGCATAACCACCCACGTGGGACATTGCTGTGTCCACTGACACGTCACGGCACTCCGAGGCAATCACAACACCAAGTTCAACCTCGTGATGCAAGTCTGTGCAGCCTCTTGGTATCTGTTTACAATACATAGTTATTTCACAGTATAGAAAATTCATTTTTAAGCTGATACACAATAAGTGTCATTATGCCATTTAAATAAATATTTTTACACAAATTGATATCAATGTCAGGCACATATAAATGAATATCAGTATAAAAAATTACTAAAAGGGAAGTCAAATTGAGTCAACACAAAACTGAATGGAAGAACCATATTAATCCAACTACAAAAAATTTATTCCGGAAGAAGGAAGTTTCATCATAATTGAAGGATGTTCTAAAGGCAATCAATTTCTCAAAGGAAACATGTTGGAAATAGGTTTGAGGCACAATTGTACATCACCAGAATTGGTCCAGAGCTTTCAGTGAGGTAAGCACTGGAGGGTTTCATGAACAGCATGGGTGTTGTGGGCACAGCATTGTTTAGCTCGGCACAATGATCACTGAAATGTAAAAATAACAAGATTTTGGCCAGGATGAAAAGAAAAGTCAGTAGTTAATAAATAATATGCATTTAAAAATTACTTTTTAAAGACAACACTTCTGAAGAATCCAGTGTCTTGGATGATAAAAATGTACAATAAATCTCTAATTTTATTTTCAAATATTAAAAAAAATTATTTTTCAAAAATTTTTTTTTTTTAAGATATCAAATTTTGTAAATTTTCAAATATATTTATTCTGTCAACTGATTCATGCATTGTCTCCAACTTTATGCACGCAAGTGTGAAAAATTTCAGATCGATTGGACAGGTAGAAGTTTGTCAAATATCGATAATAAGATTTGTAGCTGACAAAATTATTTTTAATTTTTGTAATATTGAAAAAAAAAATTATTTTAAAAATTATTTATTCTGTCACTTGATTCATGCATTGTATCCAACTTTATGCAAGTGTGCCAAATTTCAGATTGATCAGACAGGTAGAGTGTGTTAAATCGGACAGGTAGAAGTGTGTTAAATATTGATTAAAAGATTTGTAGCAGACAGACAGACAGACATACCAACAACAAGAAGTGAAGTTAAAGAGAAGTGTTGTAAAAAGATGGTGATAAATGAAAAATAAAATTAAATAAAATATTTTGAAAATCTAGCCACAAGTAGAATAATTTTAAAATGTTCATTCAAATACAACATACAGTAACAAACTAAGAAATGTATTTAATGGAATCCTAAAAACTTGAGGCAAATGATACAACTTGAATGTATAACAATTATTTTCAAAATGTTCTTAGATCTAATATCTCCCAACTAACAATAAGGTGAAAAACAAGTTAGTTAGCTACATGCAAACTTTATATTTGCAGCAATAGTAAGAAGCTGCTTTAGACGAGACCACATACCGATAATTTCTGCCAACTGCAACAACCTTCTTGCCATGTTGAGCAAAATGACGAAGATTGAAACCCGTCATGTCTGAAAACTAAATATGAATAACTAAAAATTTAAATAATACTGAAAAACAATAGATGTTTGTGAGTCATTACCTAGTTAATTTGAACACTGCCATAACAGTAAGACATTCTGCAATTCTAAGAGAATTTGCAAAGCAATTATGCCCCAGTAAAAAAAAATTTGTGCTTTTTTCTTAATTTTTCAAATCATGAAGAAACAATTCCTTAATGAGGGATATCATTAATATAATGATATTGCATAGTAATATTTTTAAGAAAGTAGATTGTTAGCTTTTGTGAAAAATAATTTTAATTTTGAACAATACGTATCACATATTTTAGTCATAGTGAATTAGTATGATAATAAATTAACTGCAATTATGGACTTTTATACACAGAATTTTGGAAAGGTTTACATGTTGAAGACATGTGGATTGTATTAAAAAGTCATCATATTTTCTGCACACAAAATTAAAAAATCCAGAAATTCCTTGAATATCAGAAAGAAAAAATCTATATAACATTTCAGATTCCAGGGTGAAGACTGCAGTTAATGCATTGGCCATCGCCAAGTATGGTTTGTAAGCACAAAATGTTGCCAGCATTATTCTAAAATCTAAAGCATCCCCAGCAGCCTTTAGCTGTCATTGCCTAGAATGCCGCAACTAAGTATCTCCCCTTTGTTTTGATTGCTTGTAGACATCACTTGTAACTATTGTAATGTACTTATGTCAGTGCCAATCAGTCTGCATTAGCCAGAAGATTTGCCAGTTTAAAAATTAATATTTTAAAAGTAAACGTGTCAGCAAGATCTTCAGAAGAAGTAAATTTTGCTGCTGATGCATCACCAAAAATCATTGACATTTGCTCACTTCCTGGACCATGAGGAGTCATTCAATGTGGAGCACAATGCCAACTTTCAATGTCCAAAGTGGAAATTGGGCTGAAGCCAGTCTTAAATTGGGCTGAAGCCAGTCTTGAATTGGACAAAAATGATTATAAAGCTGGCTAATTTCACCTGGTTATATTGCCTTTTCACAATTTTTACAGTGAAAATAAAAAACAATTTTTACCTGCAATTTTCAAAAATCACACATTAAATGATCAATCATTTTCACCTGCAAATTTAGGAATTACTCTAGATTTTTTTGGCCCAATATTCCAGATTGGTAGGACTGGAACATCAAACAAATGTAGTATTAAAAAGTGCCATTTTTACCCATTAAGTAGGATGCAAAAAAAGGGGATACAGGTGCAAGTGAAATTATCCATAACCACAATTGGTTTGGCCCCTTCTCAGATATATGTAAATGGTTGTAAGGTTGTTTCTGATTTGCCAAGCAATAAAATGTATTTCTCGGTAAATGAGTGTACCAAATGAGCAGCTCATAACTCTTTGTGAATAGAAAAATTGATTCATGATGCAAAAAAATAACCAAGAGGCTTAGATTGTGTTTCATGGCTGCAAAATATAGTCTATCAAAATGTAGAGATACTTGAGGTGATTCTGCTATAACCAAATAATGAATAAACATTTGGGAAATTAGTGGCCAATAATTTAGTCTAGTAACTTAATTTGCGAGAAACTAGTGACGCAACAATTATAATTAATAAAAGCACAAAATAAACATTGGAAGTGGGTTTGACATAAAAATGCAAGTGAAAGCAGACAAGTAAGACAAGAACCACATAACCCATACGGTATGTCTTCAAACACTTGAAACATAAAGTTATATAAAATTAATGAATTATAGTAAGGTGGAGATGTAGAAAGAGATGTAAAGATGTAGAAAGAGAAAAGAGATGTAGAAAGTAACAGAATTAAGAATGATATACAGTTACACGCATTTTTATTGGCAACATGCTTAAAAATATATAATTTGAGAAATAATATAAAGCGAAGCATTTATTGCAATTTCTGTATTTATATTCAGTTAAATTGATCAAAGAACATCTAATTACTGTGCATAACGGATAGTAAAACGTTAGATCTTTGTTGTATTTAGATTTATTAGAAAAACACCATAAGCAAAAGTAATGGCAACATTTTGAAAAAAAAGCATATAAATTGTTGGCAACTCTAACTGAATACGTACTTTGTGTGACCTCCCTTGGCAGCAATGATAGCAGACAGACGCTTCTTGTATGTTTCTACGAAGTGTTGGCATGTTTTAGTAGGAATCTTGCGCCACTCTTCCATGGCAAAAGTCTTCAATTCTTTGATGTTGCTGGGTCTTCTTTTATGAACACGCCTCTTGAGTTCCCTCTATAAATGTTCAATTGGATTTAAATCTGGGCTTTGGGGAGGCATTTCCACCACTCTCAATTTCTGGGTAGCAAAATATTTCTGTATTGATTTGCTTGTGCGCTTAGGGTTGTTATCCTGTTGAAAGACACAAATGCCTGTCCAAGATGCAGTTTTCTTGCCAATTACTTAACATTATCAGTTAAAATGTGTTGATATCCTTCAGAATTCATGATGCCCTCTATCACAGAAACATTCCCAGTACCTGCAGGCTGCAGCAGCAAAGCATCCCCACAACACGATGGACCCACCAGCATGCTTCACAGTAGGTAGAGTGTTCTTTTCCAGTAGAGCTTCACCAGATTTCATCCATACAAAGCGGTTGTCATTCACACCAAAAAGTTAAAGCTTTGTATTGTCTGACCACAATATAGGTATTATTGAGCTCTGCTTGAGAAGCATCAATGTGCTTCCTGGCAAACTCCAAATGCTTGTTGTTGTTGGCCCTCCCCGCCTCGCTTCATGGCGCGAGGCGGGGCCTAGACCCAGTTCTGGGGCCAGCCAAGTCGGTCGCCCCAGCGGGCCAGCAGCCCTGCAGCGTTTACGGGGTCCGACCAAAGGTCACTCACCGACAAGGATGTGGGCATTTCAGGGCAGGAGAAAAGATGAATGGTGTCGTGCGTGTTGGACAGACAGAGTGGGCAAAGTGGAGAAGGGTGTGTGGCAGGGTCTATTTTATTTAGATATGAGAGAAGTAGCGGTGATTTATTTGTGCGAAGTTGGGCAAGGTTCCTTTCCAGGTCTAGGTAGGTTGATTTCAGACGGGTGAATCTGTGGTGCGGGCATGTTTAAAATTTTATTGTGAGGGAGGGTTGCAAGATAGTTTTCTGTAATTGTAGTGTGGATTGTTTTGAGATTTTGTTTGATTGTGTCCTGTGTAGCTTGTGCAGGCGGAGTATCTATGTTGGTGGTGAAACCTGTGTTGTGGGCTGAAGGGTGAGGGTATGTAGTGGGTGGGTTGGGTATTGTGCTTTCTGTCTGAGTTGTGAGGCGTGAAGTTTGAGGTGTTGTGTTAGGGGTATGAGTTTGGTTTCTTGGTGAAGGTGGTGGATGTTGGTGTCTGCGGTACAGCCTGTGGCCTGTCTCTTATACACATCTAGATGTGTATAAGAGACAGAATGACAACATCTCCAGCACTTGCAAGTTCCACCATATCTTTCATGTCAACATTGGGATCAATTGGCCCAATGACCCCGCACACCTGCACATCAGAACCTGGCTGGTTGCAACGAACAGCCCACTTTCCGATCATAGAGACATCAAGATAATTGGCAATGTTTTGATCAGTGAAGGTAGGAGACTGCACAGCAATCAACTGGCGGTGGGGGTTAGGTCATTAGGACATACAGTCAAGTCCCTCACTGCTCCAAACAGTGAGTTTTTAATTCCCTCCGAGGCTCCGCCAAGCCAATTGGATATTTTAGAAAGGATACAGTATTTGGACCCTGTGGTTTTATCAGGATGGTCAGTAAACTACCTAAGCTTTGCAGAGTGGCATTAGTTGGCAGCTTCACATTCTTCAAATTAATGGGGTTAGGGACACTTTCTATTGATACTCTATTGCTCTGCGTTGTTGGGCTCTTAGCCTTAGTACCACCAATGCTCTCGCTTGAGGCGGCTTGAGCCATTTGTCTCTCTCTCTCTGCGTTTTCGCCCAAGCTTAACAGCCGTAGACTCTACAGGAGACGAGAATTGCTTCAACAAGGCTCTCACAGTCTGACATTGACTCCTCCACCACCAAGCCATCAGAAGATGCTTCCGTGAGGACCCCAACACAAGCCCCTGCTGCTCCAAGCACCACAGGTGGGCCAAAACCAGACCCCGTAAGGCAACTAAGATCATTCATGTGGAACAGACACAACAGAAGTTAGAAAACAAACAAACAAACAAAAAAAATAACAAGACAAAAACTAAATAAAGTAGAAGAGCAAGAAAAGAAAAAATAAATAAACAAAATAAAAATAAAATAAAGAAAAAATAAAAATAACAAGGCAGACCAGCAAACCTCTGAGAGAGAAAGCCAGTCAGGTTAAAGTTAATGAGTAAACAAATCAAATAATTAAGGTTTTGAATACTTATAAGAAACTAAGAAAATTTGAGTCACAAATTTACCGGTTACTTTAGATGTTTAGAGATCGCAATTCACACTGCACACACGTGCTACCACGGCAAATGCAACTGACTTTCTCCTATCCAGAAGTCTTCACCATAATTGAATTTAGAAAATCTTGGAGATGTGTTTATGAGACTGCTTCCAACGACTAACTGAGCAAGTGCAAACAATGGCGTTTAGGTTTATAGTATAGGCACCGCACATAGGGCCTAGTGTTTTGGAATGTTCTGAAATGCTGTAGAGTCATCCTCAGAAAGGCTCAGAGCCTCAGATCAACCTATAATATTCCTGATCAACAATGATGAGTTAAATTGATTTTATGTAAAGGTTGTCATTAATTATGCACAAGCAAAATAACAATCAATTTACAAAATAAGATATACATACCTGAAAATATTAAATGAATAATATAAAGGTAAGAAATTAGTTTACACAATTACAGGCTAGCATTTTAATACAAGCACACTAATATTTCATCAGTAGGCTATCTAGGACATAGGATAGGTGCAATATTTAAATTTAGAGTTGAAAGTTGCCAATAAATACCATCAAATGGGGTAAAAAGGGAAGGGCAGGGTCCTAATAAGGGACAGTCCTGAGTCCTCCACATTTTGTAGAAATGTTTTTATTGTTCACCAGTCACCACAAACAAATTTCATTTTTTTCCTCCATAAATGAGTATTTTAATGAAATTTTAACTATATTCATGTTGCCTCTGTTGACTGTTGGCAATTGGCATATCCATGTTGTGCCTTAAAATGTTGCGACATCGGATTAATATATACCTATGATATATTTTAACAGTCGAAATATTGGAATAAGAATTAGGTTAGACATGAAATTTCTGCAAAATCTCAGACCTCCGAGGCTCCGTGATAGGGTGGTAGGCCTACTCGAGTCTTCACTGAGCAGATTCAGCACCAAGTGCACTTCTTTCGCCGCTAAAAACTGCATAATACTAAATATTAGTCAGCACTATGATTTATAGAGTTCAATAACCGCATAACTACGATGCTGCTTTAATTGGGTATTATTGCCTTTAATTGCGCCAGAAATACGCCCAGGTTCGTTATTAAAATAGATCTTTTTTATTGAAGGCCGGCGACTTAAGTGCAGTTTTGAAGTTATTGCCATTGACGGTACAATTAAACCTTCAACCTTGCGGCATCCAAAAGGCAACTGTCAACTTTCCCTCAGCATTAACGATAAAAGAATAAGCTGACGATACTAATGAATGGATTCAATGAATTATTATGAAGTGACTTCGAATGCAGAGTTGACAAAATGCGGTTTAATTCAATAATCTAAGTCATTTTACGTTCTTCCACCAACGTCCACCAAGAAACAATCAGAAGAAAATCATCTCTCCCAGCCTGTTTGGCTGAAATGGCAACAAAAATACTAGAGCTCCCAGACTCG